CAGAGGTCAGGCTGACAGGCCTGTAGTTCTGTAGCCTGTAGAATTTTCCCTAAGGTCAGCATTGAGCCTGACTTGAACTCAGGTTCTTACCTTTCTGGAGGAAGAAATACAGCAGAATGTGCCTTTGTTCTTTAAAGCCACTCTATAAGTTTTGTGAAGAAGGATTTATGGGAAAGTCTAACTTTGTCACTCTCACATACTTTCATGGACTTGTAGCCTCAAGATTAAAAACCTGCTATGGAAAATTTGCCAGCTGCCCCTTGGAGTGCTTGGCTAGCTAATGCTTCCCTGTGTTTTCTAGTCTCTGCTTTGACCCAAGAGGAAGGATTTGGGGGTGAGGGAGGTCTCTGGACCAGTGGGAGCCAGGATAACTCAGCATGCAGCTTGTTGAAGGAGAGAAGACTGGAGAACAAAAGGGTAGAGCAGGAGGGTAGGAGACCTAGAAAGGTTCCTGTGGTATGGAGAGATGAGATGGTTTGCAAAAAAGGATTAGAAGGTGTGACAGGAAAACAGTTCACCATAAAACAAATAGAAGAAGACAAGGACATTGGCGTTATGGAGGCATGAAGCAAAAGAACCAATAGACAAAAAAAAAAAAAAAAAAAAAAAAAAAAGACAACGATGTGATCTGTTAATGTAGTAAGAGAGCACCTGGGAGCAGAAAGAGCCAAGATGACTAGTAAATGAATTTTTATTGTTTGTTACTATTGACACATCTTTGCCTTGGCAAGAGAAGGTGAATTCAACTTTGAGCTCCCCATACATTGAAGAAGCATTGGGCTCCTTCTGAACAAAGTGTTAGAGCACAAATACTGTGGGATGTATTTGAATGGAAAGCATAACCTGAGAACACACAGCAACAATTTATACTTTCCCATTTCAAATACTGATACACTGCTTGTCTTAAACTCAATTGCTTCTTTCAAAATATATATGCGTGCATACATACGTATGGGTATGTACCACAGAAGAATATCTGCCAAAGGCCAACAATTATGATCCTAAAGACAAAGTGTCTCCAGGGAGACTGGAAGTCTATGGTATATTGCTATTTTTTCAGCTTACAAACTACTTTTCAAGATGATAAAAAATTCTCCCTTTTCTCACATTTAAGGAGAACATTCATACCCCTCTACATGTGTATATGTAGGTTCATGCTTCTTTCCCTCAATTCATTATCAACTTACTGGATGGAGTTCTCAATGCGTGTGATGGTGAGGAAAGCTGCTAGGTTTGCCGTGTAGGAGGAGATGACAATCAAAGCAAAAAGCCACCAAGCCCCCATCATCAGTCGGGTTGCCAGGGTTGTGTATGGAACCTCTCCTCCTGTGGGGAAGAAGGAAAAGCAAGAATTTTCATTTGGAAGAAGGAAATTCAGATCCTCATTGCTCATGCGTTGCTCAGGAGAACTAGACCCCAAGGTCAGCAGGGTTCTACTAACGCAGGTTGCTTTAGTGAACTGAGCAGGACTTGGAGCCACACTTTGTATGCAATGAAAAGTACTGAAAGAAGCCCACACTGCCAGCTGTCATGACTGTATTTAATCTCTTTTGCTATTGTGCCTTTAATTGCAGTTCATCTGCCAGTCCTGTCCAGTAATAGAAATAGACTTCAAGATCTCAGAACAAAAAGAGTAAAAGTAAATTCTTACAATGTTCTTTCCTTAGAGATCTTATCTACAAGCTTTAATTAAGTTTTTATCACATTCTTGTGAATATGAAGTTAAAAACACCTCATCAAAACACAATTATTTTTCACAGTTCTGTAGGCAGGCAGTTGCTCGTGAGAGCCATATGTATGTGCACAACATGCTGCGAGTGAACTTGGATGTGCAAAAAAAAAAAATCACACTGAAGAAGAATGCAAAATTGGTTTGTATTTCCATAGTTGATTTCTTTTAAAATTCAACTGCCATGTAAACAAAACATTAGCAGCAACTAAACCTACCAGGATCTGAGCTGCACACCACTGCTTGTGTGAACAGAGCCCAGTTTAGCAAGCCATGAAAAACATTAGTTTTTATTCAAATAGCTGCCCCCAAAACCCACTAGTTCAGAGTCTTTGAAAGAACTCTTTCAGTTAATAACATATGAATACAGATTCTTAGATTGAAACAAGGATCTAAAACAATTATAAGGTTTTAGCATGTGTCACTAATTTAAGTTTAACTTAAGTTTAAATTTCTTAAGTTTTGGATGAATCAAGATGAAGGAAAATTCATTGTTTTAAACATTTTGTCTGCATTATAAGTTTTGTCACAGCTACAAGTAACTAGGGGGGACAGGTGAATGCAGCAATCACCCATAGTCAACAGCTCAAGATGTTCACCTGTTTCCTCTCCCCCTATACTCAGCAATTTGAAAAGTTGCCATTATTTTTGAGGTAGCTTTTTCAGATGCAAAATCTTATGATGGTACAATAGCTGGAACTTTCAAAAGCAAAAGCAGTTTGTTACAGATTCAATCATCTGTAGTGTATTTTGTGCTGGATCTTCACTTATGTAAAATCTCCATGTTTCCCCAGCAAAGTATGTTTAATAGGAATATAAATTACAATTTTTCCCATTCTGAGAACAAATAATTTTCAATTATGTACACAAACTAGATATATAATCAATGCTTGAATATGAAGGATCATCTTACTGTTTTGTTCAAAGTTTGTCCTACCTACACAAAACATTAGGAACTCTGCATCACCATACAATAAACAAATTTAAAGCTTTTTTCCTACTTCAGTGATGTGAGTTGTACCATACGTGAAATAATAACTGACTCAATTTATATTTTTGGTATATAAGCATTGAAATCCTCTGCCTTTTAAGAATTCCAATATTGAAAGAAAAAAATCTATATCAGACCTGTGTAGTCAGAAGTAAATTTCCTTTTATTTCCAAGATGTCATGTAATTATCTGAAATAAGAATCTACTGATCAGATTGGGAGATATTATTTCAATATAAGGACTTTCGAAGATGAACATTAATTCAACATCTGAAGATTTGGTTTTCTCTCCTGCATAAATTTTAAATTATTTTTAATAGAATATTTCTATTTTACAAGTTTTTGCAATGTCTTTAGAATATTTAACTTAAAATTATTTTTAATAAAATGAAAAGAGCAGACAGCAATATCAATGTATTGGAAGAGGCTGTTTGTCCTTTTAACTTTCAGGTGCCAATCCCTGCAGATAATCTTCCTATTGAATTGAAATAGGTAGAGTGATACAGAAGCAGCCAATGATCTCGTGGACATCCTTGCATTTTCATTTTTTAGCTTAATGAGTAACACTTTAAGTTGTCACTTTTTATTGAAAAGAAATGTCAGAAAAGAGAGTTCCACTGAAAGTCACACACCTGCCTTCCAGTTTTCAAGAGAGGATGCTGTGCAACAAGTGACCATGAAGGCCATCACAGACCCCTCAGTCACAGCATTGCCCCACTGTTCATACGGTGCAGTTTTGCCATACGTCGGGGACATTGTCCTCGCTATTCACTGTCACTTTTAGTTTTTAACACCCATGTTAACAACAGACTTTTAAAAACTGTGAGTGCTGATCATCCCAAGTGCTTTTAGTTCACCCAGATGTTTGTGAATTCTTGTTCCTAATTCATAGTTGTACCATCTACATCATCAGTCAATAAATTAAGCTTGAGGACAAAGCTTGCATCCAAGTACATGTAAAAGAGACATATATCAAAATAATTCATCACTCCTGCCCCTACTCTAAATCTTTGCACCGATGCTTCTTAAAGCAGGACTGACACTGCAACTGCATCAGTACATGACTTTTAAGCAGTACAGGCAGGGTATTCCACCTCTCCCAGTGAAGGAAAGAAACAAACAAAAATCAAAGGAGATCTTTTACTGCCATAGTAACATTTCTTTGGCATCTATTAGGAGACTTAATGTGATACAGTCTTGTTCTATTGTGCTGTTTGCTAAAACACTTCCCGCACCATGACAGCTCACCTTAAGAAACCTCTTTACTCCCTTCCCCCAATTTTGTTTTAGGAATAAAACTTTCCAGAGTTTTCCTTCAGTCCAAATTTACATGTTTTCTCAATGCAGAAGAGTACCAAATAATTCAGGAGAGCAACAATCATTGGTTTTCTATTAACATTACTACGAAAAAGAGCTACAGACCTAACAGTTGCTGCTGTTGGCTGTAAATTAGAAAGCAGAAGGGTCATGCATGCAAACCTCCCAGGGCTCTGCTTCCCAATATCTAGTAAGACTTTCAGGTGCATGGACAACTTTATAGATGACAGCATATTCTAGTTATGAGGGGCTACGCACAGGACACACAATGCAAGGGAACCAAGAAGATAAAACAAGTCTTTCCCTGCTGTTATCTTTCATATCATACCAGCAAAGCTTAATAACCCCTAATGGCAAAGGGGGACACCTCATGTGTTGTAAACACAGATTGGTGACCAGAGAAAAATCTGTCCCATCACACCTCATTCCTATAACGAAATTCATCAAGGGGCGTTACCATGCTGGTTGTGGTTACACTAAAAACACTACTGCTGTAGCATGCTAAGCAACACTTAAAAATACTGAGCTCCACTTATGAAGCAAATTGAAATTAAAGGTGACAGTTTGTCAGCATCAGTCCTAGACTTGATTTGTCATCTTAAGAGACAGATCTCAAATGAATACAAAGGCTGTATTATTCTTTAGCCTTGATCCTTCCAATACATTGGCAGAAGGTATAATGCAGCACAAAATGCCACCACCTGTATATCACCTATGTGTGGCCACAGCTCCTAGTATAATTCAGCCGACACTTTTGATGTATATTAAAAATTATTTAAAAATCTAATCTGCCTTTAAAATTTTCAGGTTGCATGTGCAGGAAGGAAAAAATATTTTCCAGAGTCAACTGAACTAGCAAAAAGCAATCTCATTGGGAGTTTTCTGAAAGAGCTGAATTACTGTAGAAGTGACAGTGAAAGCCATTACTTTTAGTCCTCCCACTCACATCTAATGCAGCTCTCCTTCATCAATCCTAGACCAGTTTAATGCTGGCCTACTTCAAATGACAGGCTTAGACTGCAACTTATGTTATGAATTTTTATTTACTCCCATTTCTTTCCAAGTGCTTCAAGCTAAGTATCAGAAGGCAAGAAAAATTATACATTGTCTTGACAATGCAAACAATACAATGTATAATTATGACAGACCTAAACATCAGGAAAAATCCACCTTAGGAAATAAAATATGAACTTATAAAATTCCTATATAGATTTCTAATACCTTTTAAGTTATTCTCCCTTGTTAGCAGTAAGTTTAAAGTTTTCTTCAAGTAAAAAAATCACAAGAGAGTATTACAGGCAAGGAGGAGGAATGAAATCATGAGAAAAAAGGGCAAAACAGGGAAATTGAAGATCACAGCCTGGTGAGATCTTGGTATTCTATAATTCTGGACTAAATGTGAATAATTCAAAACGCATAAGCTGTTTTTCCGATCATCTTGTTCTCAGGGATTTGTCAGCTCTTTGCTTGAAGAAAAACAGCGTTCATCTGTGTAGTCCAGTCCTATGAAAGTGTTTTGGATAGAAATGGAAAAAAATCTTGTTTGTGGATGAAAAGAAATAGCAAAATGTTTCTCGGAGAGTTTTTAACCACAGTTGGCATTTCTGAGATCAAGCCTGGTGGCAGCCATCCTGCTAAAAAGTGATGCAATTTTTGTTACTAGTCACCCAGGCAGTAAATGTGCAACGTAACGTCTCTCTCTGATTTAATATTGATTAAACAACTTCACTGGAAATGCACAATATTTATAAATAAAATTCATTTGCTTAACAGCTCAAGAATGATTTTTTTACTATTACTAAAGCAAAATAGCTTGGCATCATAGAGCCCACAACCTTGAGAAGACTTGGAACTGATTATTGAGAACAATAATGCCTTTTGAAGATTAATTATTCAAATGTACTTTATAAAAAAAATACACAGAGAGAAAAAACATAAAACCCACCGTCATTCTATGTCCTGAATTTGATAACTCTACTAAATTATTTCTAAATTACTAAAATTTCTAAATTACTAAATGGTTTCTGGGGGGAGTAGAGAGCTGGACTGGGAGTCTACTGCAGCCAGTCCATATGTGAAGAGAGAGGCTTGCATGAGAAGGCTCTGCCCTTCTCCTACAGGAAGGACATTACAAGTACCACAGCTTGCAATTTCTATTTGTGATAACCACAGCTGCCAGAGAAACCCCAAAGACTAGGTTCTTATTACAGACAAAACTCAATTTGTCACCAATGCTTACCATCAAGGCTACGCTACCATTCTCACTTTAAGAATGTATCTTAATTGCAAA